GAGTATCGTCAACAACACTGACACTGCCACGACAACGTAAAGAGAAGTGTGCGCTGTGCGCGGCAATCGACACGTAGTACATAAGTGGAGCATCGCGATGAAAATCATCCAGTGAGTAACGATGTCGCCGAACGGTGTTCACCCCGCCGTGGCACTGTCGGAAGATCGGAAGATCGATTGATATATCTTATTCGAACGTGGTTGAACTGGTTGAACGCGATCACACCGACTCGCACCGCAATTCCAATTCCATCACTGACGACACTAATGCCACCTGTCGACGTACCAAGCTGTCTGGAGCCGTCATTCTCGCCTCTCGCCTCTCGGTTGCTCTCGGTTCTCCAAAATCCAAATCATTGGGAATTATCGTTGATAGTCTCGATTCGTTGAATTCGCAGCCGGAGGAACGCGATCACGCGATGTCGTCGACATCGCTGATCGTAATCAAATAAATGCAGCGTCTTCATGGCTTCACTTTCGGTAACGACTTTGCCGCCGATAACGAATCGTGGTGTTGGTGATAAGCGCGAATCGGCGAGCTGAGAGAACACGTGTGCCGTGTGCGTTCTGTTTTACGTTTTACCGCGAGGCGCGAGCTTGTCGCGCGCGGACGACGACGTGTCGATCGGCGACACGTGCACGACGTTTCTTGAGTCTCTTCCTTGATATGCTTGGAGCGCATCGCTCGGATCGTCGACGTTACACGGTTACACCTTATCCTAGCTCCAATTAACGATTCTACTAATCTACTCTACGCCAGTCAGCAGCGAATATGGCGGCGATGGATGGCGAGGCGAAACTTGACGCAAGTATCATCCGCTACGATTTACAATATGGCCCTACAATAGGGTCTACAATAGGACTGCGTTCAGGAATTACGCCCAGATAACTCTAAGCTACAGGTTACGTTACGTATATTATAGCAAATATGCACACTAGAATTATCTAAGCGTAATTCCTGAACGCAGCCCTGAGTTCTAAGCCTTAAGCCATAAGAAATCGACGAATCATAGTCGATTATTCTCCTCGAATTCGACTGTAATTGGTCAAATTCTTACGGCTTAAGGCTTAAAACACCTATTGTAGATCCGGACTTACCAAATGTCATCGTGATGATCGTGTCCCGCGGTGTTTTTCAGCAAGGACACAGTCAGACACTATAATCGTAATCATAACACAGTGAATCGTTTTATCCTTGTTTACCTAGGCAAACAACAAGGATGTAATGATTCACTGAGTTACACTGTCTGTTTCAGTGAGAAATGACAATGGAGTCGATTCGACGTCAGTTTGATGATTTCAACGTCGAAGATATCGATTTGATATGTCGATTCCATTGTCATTTCTCACTGAGGATTGCGTCCTTGCTGGAAAGCAGCCCCGATGTCTGCTTACTTACTGAGACTCGCTGTACAATCGAATCGAAGGATACGATTTCGTAGATACATCCTTGTCAGGCATATGTTGCGTTCAATATTTTGTATTATATTCAACAGATGTATGACGATGTCACGTACGCTGTCGATCCTCAACATGTTGACGGTGAGATGACAGTTGGTACAAAGCAGAGGTCGACTTTAGGAGAACCAGAATTTAATACATTGGATGAGCCTATCAAAGATACAATTGTAAGTAGATGTTTTGCTAACGAGACATAGATGACACTGCAACAGTGAAGTATTTCATCATTGTATAATTTTGAAGCTGACATTAAAATCTGTAATGGGGGGATTCTACAATGAGTCGATAATCCAAAGCCTTAACTAGTCTCAATCCTAGTCGTACAAGTTGGCTATTGGCCAACTTTACTGTGATTAAGACTTAGGACTATTTAAGACTTCTGACTCATTGTAGAATCCCAGTAATATAGTTACTGATGCTAGGTTCGTGAAACTTGTATTTAATCTATATTGATTTATAATAACAATGATAATAATTTTATTGCATGCACCTACAAATTGAATTTAAACAATGTTAAAATTACAACAAAAAAAAACGAAAAGGAAAAAATATAAAGTGCTAGTAAAAGGCGAAGCGACAGTAATACAACTGATACAAGGCTTAACCTGAAATTAAAAGGCACTAATTATTTTCAAGGAATCAAAATGGTATAATTAGTATTTTGAAAAATTAATAGGAAGTTTATTTTTATAACAGTAAATTATACATACTTGATAATTAATTTTAAATTCAACGCAATTGTTTATATTTGAATATTTGTAAGATTGTAGATGAAATCATAAGACGTATTCACTCTACCTCATAAAACGATGCTTTTATTTTTGGACTGCACACATCGAGCGATTTAATGCGATTAATATATATGTATTTTCACTCTTAGACTTTCTATGTACATTGAAAATGACCCGATCGAGGTTGAAACATTTGTTTGTAATACTATATTGTCTTTTCATTATTTTCTTTATTGGTATTAAATGATTTTGATATTACATATAGCTCGTATCCCTTTTTTAATTGCTGATTTATTCTGATTGAGCCTTTATTATTAGTTATTAGTTATTATTAGTTATAACAGTAAAGTTCTCAAATTTGCAGATGTAACAAAGAATATAATTGAGTAGATCATAATAGACCCATCATCAGCTCTGGAGAGAAAGATAAGAATGATTTAATATTAAAGTATCATTTTAAAAACCATGATGTGAATAATACAACAATTGGAAAATAAAAAATCTTAACGTGAAAACAATTCCGTGTGAATTTATATACTACAATAATTCACTGTTACATTGCGTCAACTGTATCTCTTGCTGAAACTATCTCTTTCCATAGTCTTGTATATTTTATTATGTCTGTCATGAAACTATAAAATTTCAATTAGTAATATACAGGGTGATTACTAATGGTTGTACCAACTACTTACCATAAGACTTACCTACTGCATGACTTACCGACTGCACTTGTAATTTACTAAACGCTCCTTAGATGGCAGTTGCTTCGTCCGGCGCGCGAGCAGGTCCGACGTACATACAAAGGCCCTTGGTGAAAAATTTTTCTCAGATCTTATTTGTATAATTTTTCAGAATATCTGTGTGATTTTATAATCTTTTCAGATTTTTTTATAACAATTGGAATACTTTTCATAAATATTTAGAATGTCTACATCTTTTTTCAGAATTTTTTAATTTGGTAATTATGAAGTATCCTAAGATTTTTATTATTTTTTGTTCTACAAATTTCTGATAATTTCTGATACGAATTGGAACGTTTTTCGGAAATCATTAGACTTACTTGGAAAGAGTACATCTTCTCTTTGAATTTTTCATACATGTGAATTCTGAAATATTCTGAGATTACTCATTCCACAATTTAAAAAAAATACTTTTAACTATTTTAGATTTTATAACACTTTATCAGAAATTTGTAGAACAAAAAATAATAAAAATCTTAGGATACTTCATAATTACCAAATTAAAAAATTCTGAAAAAAGATGTAGACATTCTAAATATTTATGAAAAGTATTCCAATTGTTATAAAAAAATCTGAAAAGATTATAAAATCACACAGATATTCTGAAAAATTATACAAATAAGATCTGAGAAAAATTTTTCACCAAGGGCCTTTGTATGTACGTCGGACCTGCTCGCGCGCCGGACGAAGCAACTGCCATCTAAGGAGCGTTTAGTAAATTACAAGTGCAGTCGGTAAGTCATGCAGTAGGTAAGTCTTATGGTAAGTAGTTGGTACAACCATTAGTAATCACCCTGTATATACGGAGAGTGACAAACTTTCAAATTTAAAGATACAACAAGATCTAAATGTACAGATAACAAGATCTAAATGAACATTTTGTTATGTCACGAAAAAAGATGCCAATCTGTTTACACAAGGCCACTTTGTGGCGCAACAAAATTATCCGTGCTTTAAAACAATAAAGCCTGATTATACTAATGTATAATTAACTTTAATCTTGGTTCAACTTGATGTTTATCTTTTTTTAATTCTTGGAATTCTGAGAATTTTTAGAATTAGAAAAAGATAAAGAATAAATTGAATCAAGATTAAATTTAATCTTACATTGATGATAGCAGAATTAAAACGTAGGAATAATTTTTCAATATCACTGTTTATTTTGTAATGAATTACATACTAAAAATACCATACTGTAAATGAGCACCTCTACATCCGATAACTTCTTTTAAACTTTCATGAAAATTTTTCATTTACGTAAACTTTAATTTTAATCTAATTAAATTTTTGCTGCTTTGAATAAGGAACCTCAAGGAAATAACGTTTAAAACAAAATCTCAAAATATTTTTCAACTGAAAAATAACATATAGCAGACAATTCAAGAATTATATTCAAATTTACTTAATATAATAAATTATCATTCTTTTACAAAAAGCCATTGGAGAATTTCCTGTATATATCTGACATTTTTATCGCATATGTGTGATATAATTATCATTCTATTTGATATAGCTGAGGGACGTTCGAGCGGTGGGCAAGAAGTTTTTCCATGTTTTATATCCTAAAGAGAAGAAAAGTTTACTGAAAGAATGTGAGTCTATGAATGTGACAAAACTCTGTTAGTGAAAAGATGACTGATCATTATAAACAATACATTTGCATATTTCAGGGGATTTATGGGGACCATTAATATTGTGTACTTTTATGGCAATGTAAGATATATTTACGTAGATGTCATGGATGTATTATATATGAAAAAATTACACATTAATTTACAATTGCGCTTTAGGATATTGCAAGGTTCAACTGACATAGCAGACAGTTCAAACGATGGAGGACCCGAATTTGCAGAAGTGTTTGTTATTGTATGGATTGGATCTATGGTTGTTACATTGAATTCGAAATTGTTGGGTGGAAATATGTAAGTAAACGAACTGTAAATTTTGACTTATTAATTAATTTTAATTGTTGAAATGATTATGAAATTATTATTTAAATGTATGATAAATATATTCAAATTTACAGATCTTTCTTCCAAAGCGTTTGTGTCCTAGGGTATTGCTTATTACCGACTGCCATTGCTCTAATTTTATGCAGAATCATACTGATAGTGCAGCAAAGCAGTCTTCTATTTACTCTTAGGTTGATGATTAGCATGATTGGATTTTTGTGGGCAACGTATGGTAAGTATAACATTAATTCTAGATATTTGAGATTAACTTATATCTTTCTATTGTAAATCATTATCCAAAAGAATTATTACTTAAAAATTTTATTAATATTTTAGCATCGATGACATTCCTTGGCGACAGTCAGCCCACAGGCAGGAAGGCATTAGCAGTATATCCAATTTTCCTGTTTTATTTTGTTATATCGTGGCTAGTTATATCCCACACTACATAAAACGCAACACAACAATTAATCTACTACAAGACTGCGCATTGCTCTGACCTTCTGCGTAAATATCAGGAGACGATGAAAAAGTAATCAGGAGATGATACAATGTTTTTCATACATGATATTTTCCAAGTCCTGCATTTGGACATATTCCAATATTGTGCTTTCGTAAATAATACACAAGTATAGTAGACAAGTATTTATTATCGTCATAGATAGTCATTCAATATGTCAATTATGACTATTAAGAGACTTGTAATTATATTTAAATCTCACTAAATGCACACTGCAATTCAGATAAATTTAATGTCAATACAAAAATAGATTCTTTCTCCGTGAATGGAAAATTAGTCAGATTGGTACATATTTATACAGACTTATAAGAAAAAAAAACCATTATAGTATGAGCAATAATTACTTCGTTAATTCTAAACTGCTACATCTGGATATCTCTTAAACTTCCATAAATTTTTTAACCATTTATTTTTTTTATCAAATTCCAATTTTAATTGTAACATTAAATTTAGAAGATGCAGAAGTTTGAAGTAGATTTGTATCTTTTGTATATTATGTACATAAATTATGTTTAAATCATATGTTACAATAAAATAATATAATATAGAATATGAGCACTTTTCATTGTTTATTTCATATATGTGAAAAGTATCTTTGCAACTTCCGTAAAAGTGTCTTACTGTCGTAATGTATGGGATAAGCACTCAACGATTTTTGTACTGCGATATAACTCGTCTGTAGGTCTCCAACCTGTATGTGTATCGAACAAATGTGTAGTATATGTTTGGCATATATCACAGTATATTGGAAACAATTACCTTGTAAGCTAAGTGCGCGCTATTGAAGTGCGCTTCATACACGTAACTAGCGATGTTAGCTGCTGCATGAAAATATGTTCTCGCCGCGGTAACATTTCCGTTGCGCATCTCTATCACGCCGAGATTGTTGTAAGCCAGAGCATGTCTGTTATCGCTTGCGATGGCTAGTCTCAAACACTCCTCGGCCATTATCAGATCACCCAGCGTCTGAAATGGCATCTATTCTATAATTTATGCTTTAAAACGATGATAAGTTGTACATACAATAGCAATATGAGAGATGTTGTACCACACGTCAGCCACATTCTCGTCAGTAGCGAGATTTAATGCTCTTTCGAAGCACGATATAGTATGATCGTATTGCTGAGCATAGAAGCAACAAAGCCCCAGATTGTTAAACAGTTCGGCGTTATGTACGCCCATTTGCAAGAGGCGTCTGGAACATATATACGTTTATTTATCGAAATTTATTATTGTTATGTACAGGATTGGGAAACAACGCCGTTACTTTTAACGTCGGTTACAACTTTTTTTCAGTAATGAATGGGTAATATTTCCTTATTTAACGTTAACAGTATCTAACATTAATGGTAACTTTGTTATTAATTTGTTATATGGGTAACGGTTACAAATATCGTTATTTTTATCATTTGTACACATACAATACATGTGTATGGAATCTGCATTAGCGAATTTCAAAAGAAGAAAATTTGACCATGTTGCGATTAATCACAACGCCATCATCACCATCATAATCACTAGATAGATCCCGTGTTGAACTGGTAAAATAGTGATCAAAACAATTTTATGCCTTTTTATTGATTGTGTTCTCACATGTACAGTTTAATAGAATTTTTATTGCTTAATTTTATGCCACTCTAAAAAAAAAGATCAAAATTTGGTGAAAAAGTAACGAAAATTGTAACGACTCACTTGTTGAACAACGATAACGATAACAAGTTACTTCCTAAAATCAGTAACGAGTAACGATAACGAATTACTTTTTAGAAAAAGGAACGGTAACGAATTACTTTTTATAAAGTAATTCTTTCCCTGGTTATGTATAAATAAAGCGTTGAAGATACAAATGGACCTAATCACGTAGTGAGTTTAAAAAAATAAATCATTGCAAAATAAAAAGAATGCATACGATCTTATATTTCTTCAATGTTTAACTTTCTTACGCATTATGTAATACATTTAATATATATGTATACCTGTAATAACGCAAAGCTAACTCCGGTTGATCATTGTAAAAATGATGCATGCCTATACTGGCGATTGCCTCGGTGTGAGAAGCGTCCTCCTGCGCGATCACCTTGTAATATTTCATGGACATTGTCGCGTTATTCAGGCCCTCGAATATGCGGCCCATCTCCGTGAGAATCGTAACATCGTTCGCGAAGTACTCGAGGCCTCTTTTACATGTATCCAGTGCAGCCACCGGCTGATCGAGCCGGATATAGACTCTGATCAGCCGCAAGACCGTTTCGATGTTTCTATGATCCTTCAACGCCGACTTGAACTGTTGTTCCGCATCTCGTACCAATCCCAAGGTATAATAACACTTTCCCAATTGAACTTTCCACCACCAATCTTTATATTGACAAACCTGCGTCGCCTGAACAGCCAAGTCCAGCGCCTGTGATATATTCAATGAATATATTTTAATATTTAATTTAAAATATTACAATACCTCAGTGACATCTGTCAATATAATGTTTATACTCACGTATCTCGCATCATGTTCGTGATAATATATATATTCGAACAATGGTTTTGCTATGCTTTGCTGATTAGCGTATTTAGTTATGTTCAATCGCGATAATTGGATAAATGGTCCACCAGGTTCCGTCAACATTGACGCTGTGCCAAGCCTTGGAGGAAGATCTCATTTAATCTTTTCTTGATATTAAAATTAAGATTACGCGCATACAAGTCACGTTTTGTAATATACCTAACACTGCGCCCTGAGCTTGCTGTAATTGGCCTAGCAGTCATTGCTGTTCTCGGTGTTCTCAATGCCTGCTCAATCGATTGAGACATCGCTGCCTGAGTGGCAGGCCGTATTACTCCAGTAACAGGTCTGCCTTTAAGATATCAATATAGGATTTAGTTTTAACATGCATGAATAAAAATTAGAAAAAGATTGGAATTTTTTAAGATAAACTCTGACAAACCGGACTGTGATTTAGGCCGTACTCCCTGACCAGTGTAACTGGTGCCAGGATTTCTCAACGAAGTACCTGGCCTGGGCATCGTCGATATCGCATAATTGTCTAATAAGGTCTCGGCGATTCCCTCTTCTTCGCCTTCGATATCATCCACGTAAACTTGCAGCGTTAAAGCACGCATTTTCAGAACCCACACGGCCTGATTCGTAAACAATTACTATTCTATGTTTAAGAAATAGAGAGAAATATACACACACACACACACACACACACACCTGATCAGAGGAATTTTTTCTCAACAAATCCGTGCATATTGCAGCGCACGCTTCGTACTTTTGTCGATTGAATAAGCTCAAAGCGGTAAATAATTCCATGTTCAACAAAGCCTGAATTTCCTCAGAATGGAATATGTATCAGTTTCATTGATCCGATTATTATAGACTACTATACTATACCTTGAGCAACCACTTGCCTTACAGCTGTTGTACAAACACAAGCGAAATTATTGATTATTTCAAGTTATTTCTTTACTTTATAGGCGAGCGCGGTTTACCCCCATTTTCAGTTCACTAACCAACCAACGTTCTAGTGGCTGGAAATGACTTAATTCAATTCCTCATATTATATTCTGCGAAAAACAGCTATATACATTTTATTTTTTACATGGTCGTTGAATAGTTAAAAATAATTTTGTATTTAAAAAAAATGTAAACTTTGAATAAAAATTCCGAAAAATCCAAATGAATATTTTTTTGTCTCTTAAACTTTTTTGATAAAATCAATAGTTTTTAAGATAAAAAATGTATAAATCTTGAAAAATGACTTTATAAATTTTTTCTTACAAACTAATCTTCCAATGAATATGAATAAAAAACGAAAATATTCGGTCTTTACTTCTTAAAGCGTAACGAGAATTTTATTTTATTTTGATATTTATTTTCTATAGTGTTATTGAGAATGAAAACTTTATTATTATAATGAGACTCTGAAGGCGCGTCTGTGACATGCTTTTCTGTGGAGGAAAGTCTCATTGTTCGGCTACAACATGCTCTTGTTTGTTGTTTTCGGATTTGAAATATGTTGTTCGGTTTATTGTAATAAATGCATAAATAAAGATGATAATAAAGATGATCTCAAGGCATAAAAGTGCAATAAAAATATTAAAAACTGGTGTGTTATTAATGTTTATGTCCTAGTGCAAATATTTCAACTCTTTCAAACAAGCGCGCGCTGTGCCCAGCCGCGATGCCAGTTCACAATTTTTTTCCTTTTCTCTCCAGGAGAAAAGAAGAGGAAGAAAGATGAACTGGTGCAAAAGTTCAGCCAAAAAGAACAGGCCTAATTCGACGTTGAAACTTGAGACCGCTCACGCGCCGTAGACGCGCCTTCAAAGCTTCATTATAATAAAGTTTTCTGTCAATAATAGTACAGATCGAAATAAAATAAAATTCTTGTATAGTTTGTGGGCTTGTGCACAATAGAACACATATTAGGAACAGGAATAAATATTAAGATTTCAACACACCTATCAGATATCATGCAGTTACACCAGAATACACAGTTTCTGATAAGTTGAAATCTTAATATTTATCCCTATTATTCCTAATATTTCCTTCATTGTGCGCAGAGCCTAAGATTGACCGAATATATTCGTTTTTTTTTTTCATATGGATTGAATGATTAGTTTGTGAGAAAAATAATCATAAAAATAGTCATTTTTCAAGATTAAACATTTTTTATCTCAAAGCTATTGATTTTATCAAAAAAATCTAAGGGCCTTAACAGAAATGGCTGACTTATAATCTTAAGACAGTGTCTTATGACTTAAGTCTTGCCTTTACGTTAGTGACGCACAAGAACTGTCTTAAGATTATAAGTCAGCCCCTTTCTGCTACGGCCCTAAGAAACAAAAAGTGTTCATTTGATTCAGAATTTTTTCGGAATTTTTATTCGAAGTTTAAATTTTTTAAACAAAAAATAAAGTGTATAAAGGTGTTTTTTCGCAAAATAATATGAAAAATCGAGTTAAGCCAGCCACTAGACCATTATTAATGAGTCAGTTAGTACATTTCGAATACCGGCCTTAAAGCGACTTTTTGGGGGCAAATTGCTTGCCTATTATGACGGCATAATCATAAAATCAGTAAAATGTATAATAATAGTAATTGCAATAGTAATGTAATCATGAATGTAATAGTAATTAAGGTAGTAATCGATGCAACAGTATGATTGGTATTTGTTTTTAATCGTGCGAAATCAATATGTACCATGGCGGAATTTATCTAATTGATTATACATATACATCAATGATATGTATACAGCAATATATATGGTGGAAGACTATGGATATAAATTAATATTTTATGTAATCCCCTTGACGGTT